CTTTTCTATTATATAATTTATAATATCATGTACACTACTACAAAATGTAATATAATTGTCTAAAATGAAATATATAAAAATTAAATATTCAATACTAGTAAATAAGAATGATGATAAGCAGATACAAATTGTCTGTCGACACAGTAGTATTAATAATTTATAAAAAATTTCACTATCCTAAAGTCTTTTTATTTTTTCTTAATACCAACAAACATATTCTTATACATAATTTTTTTTTATATAGTTATGTTAGTAAGATAATCTCTCCCTTTACTTTTCTAGTAGGAACAAAAAAAGTACTTGCTAACTAAAGTATATTATTTTCAAAACAAAACAAAAACTATGATATATTGAACATATATGAATGGTATTAAGAATCTTAACATATTATTGTCCCAAAAGAAAGAGGACCATGTCGGCGAATCCGCTCCATCAGTGCACATGAAAAAAGTTGATGTCTACTGCCCATACTAACTGATTAACCACAATCACTTATTTTCAGCTTTTTTTCTTCTAAGAAAAATAATTTTCGAAATTTCACGCGCGGAAATCGCGAGTGCACCAACCCCAAACTTCTATAAATAAGTTGCACCCCTTAGTAGGACTGTAGTAGAAACCATAATTCAAATCACAAGTGTTGTCAATTCTAATGCACCACCGTGGGTGGTATCTCTCCTCCTCAGCCGTGAACCGCCGTCACCGCCACCATGTCAAGCCACGAGTACCGCTCCATGAAGTGGCACTACATAGAGTTAGATGATAAAGATCTTCAAATTCGAGGAAGGACCCTTTTCTTCACCATCCTCATTTTCTCCATTACTCTCCTCATCACCGTTCTCTTCTTCTACACGCGCTGGGTTTGCCGCTACCACGGCCACCTCCCCATAACCTTCTCCACCACCACCGCCGCCCAATCCAGCCACGCGCCGCTTCCTCCGCCGCCACAAGGACTCGACTCTGATTTGATTAAAAAACTTCCCATCATCTTGTACCAGGCGCCTTCGGAACATAACGGCGGCGCGTGGGAGGAAAGCGAGTGTTGCATATGTTTGGGAGAGTTTAAAGATGGTGAGAAAGTTAAGGTTTTTCCAAAGTGTAAGCATTGTTTTCATTGTGAATGTGTTGATGAATGGCTTAAACATCACTCAAGTTGTCCATTGTGTAGATCTTCTCTTAAGGTTGAATCTTCTTTTCCAATGATATTGATTCAAGAACCACCAAATAGAGTTGATATTTTTTCTTATGGGATATGAATCTTATCTTATAAATATCAATAAAATCATCACTTTTACTAATTTATTTAGAGTTATCTATATCATTGTAAAAAAAAGTTAAGTTATCCATGGTTAATTATCATTGATTTAAAAAAATATAAATAAATAATGTATCAAATGTATATAAATATTTATATCACATAGATATTGCATTATATTTAATTTTTTTAAAATGGTAACAATTGGGAAGATATGACAATGAAAACCGAACATGTAAGTACCCACTCGAATTCAACCCGAATTTAATGGGGGAAATCCGATGTGATTGGGTTCGGGTTTTACCCGAGTTTAATTTTCGGGTTCGGGTTTTACGTGACTAATATATGTAAAATTTATAAAATTATATATATATATTTCACATATATAAAAGCTATATATATATATATATATATATATATATATATATATATATATATATATATATTTTTTTTTGACATATACATATACACACATAACCTATATATAGAGAGAGAAATATATATAGTTCAGATTGAGTTTTTATCGCGTTCGAGTTACCTGAAATTAATCCGACGAGTTCGGGGATAGTATCTTTGTTTTCAACACCGCTTCGGGGTTGGGTAAGCACAAATCCGACTCTGATCCATCCGTTGCCATTACTACAATTGGGATTAGCCTTTTGCAAATTAATTTGAGTGTTAATTAACCACTAACTTAATCTTTATGTGATTTGGTGCTTGATTTTGTATATCTTTAATTAATTTGGTTTCTAACTTTTATATGCAATGTTAGCATGGATGGCAATATGGGCTTGACCCGACGGGTCAGTCCGTTTTGATCGACATTTTTGGTGGGTCGGGTTGGAGATTTTAGCCAAAATCCCATATTCAACCATGTTTGGAAGCCTGTTTTTAGACGGGCTAGGCTTGCAGGCCAACGTTAATATTGTTTTACCATTTTAAGGTTACATGTGATTCACATAATGTAGTCAATTTAATATTGTTTTCCAACCGAACATTTTACACATATCGTGTGCAACCAATTTATTATTCATATTTTTTTTATCGGCAATTTATTATTCATATATAAGACATTTATGAGTAAATTATTTATCAATGTAATTTATATCATATACAATACAAGATATTTACATATCAATGTTTAATTTATATCATATATCATATTTTGTTTAACTTAATTACATTTATCACTTTTTTTGTTTAAAAAATTACACATCTCGTAGAAGGTTGATCAATTTAATGTATGTTTATAAATTAATGGTTTTTTGTAAGTGTAAAAAATGGAATGATAGTTTGTGTAATTTCACTAAAACTCATGAAATATCATTGTAATTTAAATGTGTTTTTGAAAAGAAAAGGAAAAACGGATCAGCCCGCTGGCCTGCCAGCCCGACCAAATATGGGTCGGGCTGACATTTTGAACCTTTTTAGCAATAAGGGTCGGCCCAACTCAGCCAATATTTTGACGGGGCAAAGGCGGGCCAGACAGGGCTGGGCCGAGCTGGCCCGTTTTGCCACCCTTACATAAAATTCATTCTTATACTAAGTTTACGGATAATGTCAATAGGAAAAAGATCTTATTCTGATTGTTAAATGTTCATTATATATAGGTAGGAAGTTATTTACAATTTTCTTACTACTTTTATTTTTCTAAGTATTTTGAAAATATTAAAGGTAGACAATTGCACGTGACATAGTGGCAAGAAAGAAAGTGGGATATCTGTGATAATACTTAGTTGTCAAAAATAAATATTTTTTCCCACTTAAAATGAAGTTTTTTTAGTTGAATTCTCATTTCCCAAGTTGGATGAAGAAGACAGGTTACAAAAAGGTCATATAATTTTATTACTAAGCCAACTAATATTTATTAAAAAAGGTATTTATCATATGATCAAAAGAGCAAGAAAAGAACGAATGTTTAAATGATATTAAATTGTATTACAAAATTACAATGAAAGTCTTATATAAAATGAAAAATAAATTAACTAATCTAATAATCAAAATGAATTAATAATGGATTAAAAGGTAAATGGATTTAAATGAATTATTAATTCAATACAATATTAACCTCAACATATATTTTTGCTATTGTTAGGCACATATGGCTGCCCTACTAGAATACGTGATCCTGCTTCTTAAGTTGAAATTGATATACAAAGATAGATGGGACCCAAGAAAGGTGAATATCAAGATGCTGCTATGGTGTTCATGTTAAGGACCTACATGCTTTATTCGCATTCATATTGTTACAATTTTAGTGAATGACACAAATAAGTATGCAATTTGAAGTTATTGAAATAATTTTATTTTAAACTTTTGTGCATCATCATTCCTTATCTTCTAAGTTTAATGTTGCTTTCTTATACATCTTTAGTAGGGATGACAAAAAAATTCAACCCAGCATGTGAAAATAGTTACAATGAGTACCCGTAAAAACAACTTACAGGTGAGAATGAAAAATAACATGCGTATTTATAAAATTATTTTTTAATTAAATATTTTATATAGTCTACTTATTAATATTATTTTAATTTTTTCTATTTTATAATTATTTTATAATAAACTTTAGTGATTGAACTATAAAACCACAAAATTATCATATGCATATTATATTATTTAAGTCATAATTATTTTTATATATTAATCATTATAAAATATATAAATATATAATTAAATTTGAAAACTCGTTGGGTACCCACAAATACCTGCTACCCACACAAGTATATTGAAAAGTATAGGTGATTTGGGTATAGTATAGGTTCATTACCCACTAGGGCTATGGCAGGTCTCATAATTTCATGAGTGCTTGCAGCTAGAGATACTTACATATTACCAACTATCAAAATAATACCCAAAATAAGATTTGAACTCCAATTTTATGGATTATGAATTAATTTGTTCACTTTAACCAAACTTAAATTTATTTTGATGTCAAGTAATTAATATATTAATAAGTTAAATTATTATGAAACTAAAAAAATATAATTAAGGAAATAAACATGTTATAAGAATTGAGACAACCAAAGTCATACTCAATTGGTTCGGGTCACTATCAACTATTGGAGTATTAAGTTCTTCTATAAGAAAAATATATGAAATAATTTTTGTTTACTCTACCGATTATACGTAAGTTGCAATCTCAAAACTTCAAATTCATACCAAACATATATTCACAATGTGTATAATTCTTAGAACTCATATTAAAATTGTAACGTATTTATAATTAACAGACATTCTTGAACATCAACCTTATGTATCAAATATGCACTTGAAAGCACTCTCATAAAAACATGTTCATGCCGGTAGGTTTAATCGATAAACCAGTAAACTGATCTCAATATCGATATGGTTTAATAAATTTGTTATGCAATCATATTGGTCAAAACTGGTAATACTGGCTGGTTTTCAATTGAATTGAACCAGTCATATCGGTCGAATTTTTATTTAAAATTAATTTTAATAAAAAAACATTGTTTTTCATTGATGTTCTAATATTAATGTTAATATATTATATATGTATAACTAACTCAATCGATATACAATTTAATTAATGAACCATTGATTGAACCACTATATTAATATTATTATTAATATTATGATCAGTTTAATAATCAATACAATATTAATAACTGTGTGCATAAAAGAAACAAAAAAAACACATGAAATATTGGAAAGTGGAAAATTCAAATATTGGGCCATGAACAAAATGCTCCATTTTTTAGGTTTTGGCCCAAACCATGTTATTTTGGTTAGGGTTACTTCATTATTCACAATATAAATTGCTGAAACCTCTCTTCATAAAATTCCCGCAGCTTCTCTCACTAGTTAGGTTCAACAAAGGGTTTGGTTCTGAGTTTGGGTTTCATTCTTCATCACAATGAGGGCCAAGGTAATATTATTTTATTCCCTTGTTCTTGAAAAATTGTATCTTTTTTAATTGTGTTATGGTTTTGTTTTGTTTTGTTGTTGCTTTTTTTTTTTATGAATGAGAATGTGCTTTTTAACAGTGGAAGAAGAAGCGTATGAGGAGACTTAAGAGAAAGCGCCGAAAGATGAGACAGAGATCTAAGTAGTTTTTGTTGTTTGGCACCAACATTAACAAATCTTAGTATTATGTTTTTTGTTATTGTTTTTGTTTTGTAATGGGATTTATATTAAGAGAGTAATATGTTATATACTCTCTTTTATTTTTATCATATGTTATCATACTTTGGTTCCTTTTTGGGACCTAACTATCTTAGTTTATTAATGTTGTTATTGATTTGAATTAACTTGCATTTATATTTAAGTATATCTATTTTTTTTGTTAAATATGATTTATAATTTTTAGAAGCGCATTTTTTTAAGATTGCCTGTTTTCATTAAGGTCACATTTTCAAATTCTGGAGGGGAAAGATGAGGCTGCAATTCCAAACCTGGTATATACTTAATTTTATTGAAGTTTTTAATATTATGTTATGTTGTGTAGGATTGTGTATAGAAGGCTTAATGGAATGGATAATAATTTAAATATGAATATTGAAACATGTTATGTCCTTGTTTTTTTAGTATTAGTAGCACTTTATCTATGCTCTATTTAAAGTAGTATTGGATGTTATTTGATGAGATTATGTGACTTGTTTGCAATAATAAATTTCATTAGTAGTGTGTTTTGAAGTTCAGTTTTGTAGCATTTCTCAGTAAGTAGTATATATTTAATGTATGATCAAATGATTCTGCTTCTTATAATTAGTTAGCTGTGTATTCTTTAATCATTGATACATAATTTTCTCATTTTGGTAGCAACCGTAAATTGATTCTCTCGTCCTAATCCGAGGCTCTTTTGCGGTTCCCTTTAAGGAACAAACTAGATTTTTTGTGAACTCGTATTAATCCTCTTACCTCATGAAATTGGATATATGACTTGTAAATGAATTATTAATAATAAAATATCAGTTTGTGGCATGTTAATTTAAGTTTAGGAGGATTTATAGGAGAATATTATTTTCCTTATTGCCGTCCTTCTTTTAACTCAGTGGGTCTGATTTCATTATTGGTGTCTTATGCATCCATTGTTGATAACTAGTCCATGTCCACTATATCACTATATTTGTCAGGAAGAGATCCACTTACTTCAAGAATGAATGTCTAAGATGTGGAGTAGGTTTCTGCCCTTAAGAGGGAATGAATCATTTCTTATATTTGTGATGTATTTACTTGTTCCTTACTCTTTTTTGTTCCTTCCTTTTAACTAAGTTGTGTTTGTCATGGAGATATTATGGTCACAAAAATGTTGGCACGGTCATGAAAGAGTATTTTTGGTTCATAGTAAGTTGATAAATTGAGTTCTAATTTTGATATCATTATGATTACATATTGAAATCAATTATCAACAAAATATTAAATAGTGTCTAAACCAATCATAGAAGAAATAGTACTTCAAGTCCAAAATTAAAATCTAGCTTGCCGATTTCAGTTTTGATTATGGTTAATTATTTCAAATACAACTCTAGGATGAATATATTGAAGTAGCATAAAATACAATTTTGGATGAATATATTGAAGTAGCGTAAAATAATTTTTAGCTAAGCATTTTTTGATGATTATATCATGGAAAATGATATTTATGCATTTGAATGACAAATTTAATTAGTAACTCATAAACTCCATTCGTTGACAAATTATAATACTAACAAAAATGTCGAATAGGATGCAAGATAAGTTGTATAATACCTTCATAGATTTTGGAAAACTTCTTTATAAATCACATTTGTTGTTGACTTCAGTGGTTTATTATCCTTGTCATGTATTAAAATCTTCAATCCATTTTTAATTTGAACTCTTGACATAGCTACGTATAGTTGACCGTGACTGAACACTAGTCTAGGTAGATATAATTCCAACACTTTCTAATGATTGTCCTTGAGATTTGTTGATTGTCATAGCATACTAAACTGTCTTCTAATGAGCTTGAAAGGCCATGGAGATTGGGATGGAAACATTGACATGCGAGGAATATATATGATATGACCAATGTTTTTACCGGAGATCTAAATTTTTCAACAACATTATTGGAGTTCCAACTTTTAACTTGATCTTATGATTGGGAAGACCAGATGTAGAAAGTGAGTTTAGAAATTCTGGAGTTAGTATATTGGCTACTTCAATTTCATTAGCATCAGACATATAAACTGAATCTGAACTCAGATATTCCTTTTCCTCACCTGCCGTTATAAAATAAAATATTTATTAGTATAATTGTAGCAAAGATATTGTATACGTCATACCAAGAACTTGAAGAAAAAAATTACCTGGAATTATGCTTAGAACATATTCATTGATTTGATCAACAATGTCAATTGTTGATGCAAGTATTGCCTTAGTCTGTAGATAATGTTTGTCCTTGTAGTGATGTTGTATGTTAGGATAAGTGCTACACACTATTGCATCAATTGGGTTATCAAAATCAATAATCAAAAGTTCTTCTGGAATATCAATTTCAACACAACCATCGTTAGGCTCAGATAATTTCCCATCTCCAACCTTTAATATCCATTCTAAAAATTCCTTGATCTCCATTGTGTTGTCATTATTTTGTAAATGCATGTTATTTGAAAGAGTTAAAATTCTACATTGATGCAAAGATAAGATGAGTTGATTGTTGCATGTACAATATCTGAACGACATCCTCTCGGAATAACTGGCAAAATTTGTCTAAAATCACCTCCAAAAACTACAACTTTTCCTCCAAATAAGATTGAGTCATTAGACGTTGTACCCATTATGTCTGCAAGACTTCTATCAAGTGACTCAAAACAAAACTTATGTGTCATTGGAGCTTCATCCCATATAATTAGCTTTGTTTGTTTCAATAAATCAGCAAGTTCAGAACCTTGATGAATGTTGCAAGTAGAGTTCTCAAGACTTGGAATAAGTATTTTGAATTTTGAATGTGCAGTTCTACCTCCTGGTAATAATAAAGAAGCTATACCGCTAGAAGTCACGGTTAATATAATTTGTTTTTGAGCTCTCAATGTATATGTTAGAGTTTTCCACATATGTGTTTTACCAGTTCCTCCGTAACCATATAAGAAAAACATACGACCATGTTGATGGTTGACAGCTTGGATGATGGTATGGAATATTTTAGATTGTTCTTCTGCATAATATAATATGAATACGTCTTAGTGAATTTTAAGAGTAAATATAAATTAACAAACAATAATAAATGTATAATTACATAGGTAAGCAAATACAATACCTGTGAGAGATTTGTAAATAAGATTGATCTTTTCCTTTAATTCGGTGGTATCATAATTAAGTTCTTCATATATTAGTCTATTTCCCAATTGACTTGTGATATATCCATTTGGGTAAGGCATGGGAGGATAGTCTTTCAAGCTTCTGCGATTTCGTTGAAGTACTTTTTCAATTTCTAATAAAGTTAGATTTTGTAATTGTTCATCACTAAGCACCAATCCTACAATTGTTTCAAAAAGAGTTGTATATCATTGTTCAACACTTTAAGATATATTAGGAAAGCAATTAAAAAGTAATTATTGTGTACCTTGATTATTAGAAATAATTCCCTGACTATGATGAATACCATCAGATAGCCATTGCCACGTTTCTTCCCAAACCTGATCAGGTTTATTGACAAAGGTTGATAATAACATGGTAATTTTCTCAAGTAGATTCCAGAACCCCAATCATTTGCTTCTCTTAAAGCATGAATATATTCCTATCAACTTTAAGTAAGGCCATAGCAAAACATGCATCCCTGAAAGTGGGATATTGAATTTCTGAAATAGTCCTAATATCTTCATAACTTCTTGGCCCTTTAACTACTGTCAACATCATCCTAAGATAATATAGTTCACCGGTGCATGGAAGAACCTAAATTAGTCTACCAATTGTATAACCAGATTTTCTTGGTTTCCAACATCTATTCCTTTTGACATAAACAAATTTGGAAAATATTGTGCATAACTTAAAGTTCGACCTTCTACATATTTTTCATTAGCTTCCATCCAAGATGTGAACATGGAAGCTATTAGTTGCACATACCAAATTTCAGTTATTCTGACTGCAATCTTCCACATGTATTTGGAGTCATTCAAATCCATTATCATATCGAATGACCGTGATGTAGACATGATGCTGATATATGAAAAAATGCAAAAATCACACACATGAATCAAATAAACATGATTCAGTAACTGTAAATTTTATAAATAGATGAAAATGTCTCATCTTTTTACAAAAAAACATACAAAATGGTAATATGCAAAAATCACACATATGACATAAGACAAACATAAAAAAAGAAACATCCAACCTTGTAAAATACAAAAATCACACATGAATGAGATAAACATGATTCGGTAAAGAAAATAGCGATAAATACATGCAAAGGTGTCATCTTTTTACAAATAAATAAACACCAACCGGGTAAAATGCAAAAATCACACATATGAATGAGATAAACATGATTCATTTACTTGAATAGCCATAAATAGATGCAAAGGTCTCATCTTTTTTTACAAAAAAAGAAACATACAACATGGTAATATGCAAAAATCACACATATGACCTAAGACAAACATGATTCGATAAAGAAAATAGCGATAAATACATGCAAATGTCTCATCTTTGTAAAAAAAATAAAGATTTTCTCAACAAATGAATGTTATATATAAAACCTTTACAAAAATGAAACCTTTAGAAAATATAAAAAGTATGTCAGTGCAAAGTAATTTCACATAAGATAGAGGATAAAAGAGAGAGTATCTGAAAGGATTCATTGATACAGCAAAACCGTCCACATTTTGGTCCACTTCCGCATTTGATGAACCACAAATTACCTGAGAATGAATTTCAGAGTAAGGGTGAGAGCGTGAAAGTGAAGAGAAAAAAAATGAAGAAATGGAAGAGATGAAAGGGCTAGCGTGATTGAGATTGTGAGAGAGAGGGAAATGAAGGCATGAAGAGCAATGAGCATGAAGAGCAATGAAGAATTGAAGAGATGAAAGATAATTATTATGATGATGAGAGTGAAATGAAGTGACATGAAGCAGTAAAGAGTAAAGTGGCAAACTGTACCTGAATTTTGACAACTTTGAATTTTTGGTGCAATAAAGACAAAGTTGTAAGGACCATTTTAACCCCTTATTTTCTTTCTATAATCATATATTAGAGTCAATCCTTTAGGGTAATTTGACTTAGTTGTTTATTTTTAATTTTTAAATATAATTACTTTTTTATCCTTGTAAAAAACAGGTGTCAAGAATATGGAATTCTATAATTGTAAATTTGTTAGCCCTTTCAAAAAGGAATAGATACTTCCAGGTCCTAATACAAAATTTGCTTATATGGGTTCATAAAAAAAAACACTTTTAGAACATGCACATGTTGATTATGTTGTCTGTACTTTTGAACATCATATACAATTGTATCGCAATCTCTTCAGTATACACTTGTATTAAGAATATCAAAGTATTAAAACCAAAGGAATGTTCTCCACTGTTTCATGAAACATCATGCATCCAAACTAATTTAAATCAAAGAGTAGTACTGCAATAACCATGCATGTAGAAAATGTAGGACACAACATTTAGTAAATTAAAAATTTGGATTTGATTATTGAGAGCGTCACTTGTTGGAAGGGACAGTCATGTGTCTCGAAATAGATTTGTTTCTTACCAAAAAATGTGAGAGGATACCTTTAGTAATACCAAAAAAAATAATTAACAATCTAGATGTACAAAATTAAGCCCAACTAACCCAAACTGAAACTATAGTCAGAAAAGTAGCATTTAAAATAATTTATTAAAATGAGATGAAGCTACAATGCTAAACTAGTTGGAGTTGTAGTATTGGAGCTATGATGTTTTGAGGCCTAGGGATGAGGAAGATGATATCTTTGATGGTGATTTACTTGTGACTCAATATCAATACATGAATCGAGACATATTGGTTCGCAAAAATACCACGAACTAGTACTTGTGAACCAATTTCCACCAATTCCCTAGTCAAACCAGCGCACATGGTTTCTATGATCCAAAGGCAAGGTGAAGAAGTTTGGTTCCACACCCTCTTCCACCATTTAAAAGTAGAGGTCATCATATACACAACCATTTCACATGATTCCACGGAGGTTAAACACGAGCTAAGGTCAAGGATGGACTAACATTTGTAAAGAACAAAGTTTTAGACTAACAAACTAGAACAACCTTATCGTGGTAAAAAAACTACGCATTTGTAAAGAACAAAGTTTTAGACTAACAAACTCTCACAAGGTTGTACTTAAAACATAAGAAGTGAAAACAACTCAGACAACTTATCATATATTTATTACCTAGCCTAAAATAGGTTTGGTTAGGTTTTTTTCGTAAACAGATTAAACTCATCTAAAACGTCTATTAAACCTAAAATGCTGTTATATTTAGTTATATTTTATATAATAATCTTCATATTATACCAGTTTAACATAAGCAATATTATCATATATGTAATATTAATATAAAAATGTATTAAAAAATCTAATTTGATTGTTAGTTTAGATTAATTTAGTTAAAAGTAGACATATTAATTTATTTAAATGTAAACATGATGACCTATTTTAAGATTATATAGTTTTACAGACCTTTAAACAAGCTAACATGTGATGATGACTTTTAAATAGGTTGTAACATCCCAAAAATTACATTTCTTGAGTATTGTGGATATCAGGAAGTCTGGGAGCTACTGGGTGATTCTCGCTTGAGCGAGAATCAGCTCGCTCAAGCGAGGGACTCAGAGTTGCTCTCAAGCATTTTCTGAGTCTATTCTCGCTTGAGCGAGAGTCCGAAATCCTAAAACCTAAAATAGAAGTCCCAAGTGAGGATTGGGTGATT